GAGCTGTGTCAATATGGTTTTGAGCAATGTTTTTAAGCACCTAGATTAATACTTTGCAAACTTTTGGAGCATGGTCAATACAGAACATGGAAGCTCAAAATTCTGGAACATCCTCTCCCTTTCCTCCACCCATCTACACCCTTATAAAAGAGTAGTTCAAATCCCACCTCATCCTCAAAGGTCAGAGTGGTTGCTTCATCCTTTGTAAGGTGGCAGAATTCAAAAAGACTTCAACCTAGAAAGGTGACACTTCCAAACCCAGAGGGAAAGAAGAAACAGAAACACATTTGTTTTGTTGTTGTAGTAACAGCAACAGTAAAGGGAGGTATGTAGAGCCCGAGAGAGTCTGGCGTCATGGCTGTTCAAATGAAGACAACCTAGTGCTTTTAGATTTCTGTAATTTTGGTAGAAGCCACAGACCTGAGCCACAGCAGTTGAGGTTTGTGTCAAGCGCAGATGTTCGAGAGCAGAGATGTTTTAAGAGCAGGGCATGAGGGAAGAGATAAAGGAGCTTGTAACGGCGTAAGCGAATGCAGACAGATTGTCAAAATATAGACAGCTTTAATGGAGGAATAGACTTACAGAACCACTGTTCCCGCGGAGACCAGGAAAGCAGAAGAGAACGCTGGGAGCACGCTCACCAATTTTATAGGAGAACTTTAGCCTGAGGCGAACACGCCCCCTAAGGGGTGGGACTTATCCCTACAGGAGCTGATGGTGTTTATCCTGCAAAGACAAAATGCAGCCACCTCATGCTTAAAGCACCCAAAGGGCTGCAGGCAGGAGGATGCACTTGCTTTGTATAATTCCAGGAAGCAGCAACAGGACCACTGGGCACAGATTATTGGAGGACATTTTTTCCTGAATGGCCTCCCCTCCCAATTGTAACCTTAAAGATCAGGAACACCATTTATGCTTCTCCCAGGGGATACAAAGTCCCTGACCTTGGGAAAGTTATGGGGTGAAAGCCTGACCAACTATTTTTAAGACACCATAGCATTTAACCACTCGGCGGGAGATTCTGATGTCATGTCTAAAGGGTTTCTCTAATGTCTCTCACATACCCTGGCTCACAGCTGAGTACGGCCTTTCAAATGGTCATTTGTTTGTGGCTTAGCTCCCCAGCTAAACTCCGAAGTTCCTTAGACACTGTGTGTCTTTGACACAGCAGTGTAAGTGCTTGGTACACATTACTGATTGCCTAACAGGACACCTCATGCTTTGGTACTTTCAACAGAGGGGTGTAAACTTGTGAAGAATAATGAAGAATGAAAATTGGCAACAAAAGCAAAGGATGGATAACCCAAACCAAGCTCTGAAATCATTTTCAGGGAATGAGGAATCTTTAAAACCATTAAATATTTTATTTATTTGGTTTTGATTTACTTATTTATTTAATATCCCAGCCACAGTTTCCCTCCTTCCTACCCCCCACTCCCTCTACCCTCACCCTCCAACCCACTCCTCCTCCATTTCTATTCAGGAAAGGGCAGGTCTCCCATGGGTTTCAACAAAACATGGCATATCAAGTTACAATAAGACAAAGCACTTCTCCATGTATTAAAGCTGAGCAAGACAACCCAGTATGGGGAATAGGGTCCCAAAAGCCAGCCAATGGGTCAGAGACAGCCTTGTTCCCACTGTTAGGTGTCCCACAAGAAGACCAAGCTATACAGCTATAACATGTAGGCAGTGTGCCTAGGTCAGTCCCTGGCAGACTTCCTGGTTGTCTGTTCAGTCTCTGTGAGCTCCTATGAGCCCAGGTTAATTGATTCTGTGGGTTTTCTTGTGATGTCCTTGACCCCTCTGGTTCCTAAAATCCTTCCTACCTCTCTCCAGCAGGATTCTCCAAGCTCTGCCAGTCTGCATCTGTTTCCATCAGTGGCTGGATGAAGCCTCTCTGATGACCATTGGGGTAGTCACCCATTCTATGAGTATAGCAGAATATTGTTAGGCATCATTACGTTGACATTATAGTTTTCCCTCCAGTCATGTTTGGTTCTATCCTAGGTCTCTGGGTCATCCAGCCTGTGGTTCCTGGTGCTCCAGGCAGTGTCAGGGCTGAACTTACTCTCCTGGCATGAATTTAGGGTAGACCAGTCATTGGTTGACCACTCCCTTAGTCTCCAGGCCATCCTTACCCCCAGCAGAACCCATAGGCGGGACAGACTGTCCGTCAAAGGTTTTATGGCTGGATTGGTTTTCAACTCCCTCCACTTGAAGTCTTTCCTGGTCACAGGAGATGGACATTCAGGCTGTGTATCTGCTATTGCTAGGAGTCTTAGCTGAGATCATCCTCATAGATTCCTGGGTGATCCCCTTGTGTCAGGTGTTTACCTGACCCTGAAATGCCCCCCCCTTCCAGTAGTGTGGCTATTACAAATAAAGCTGCTCTGAGCATAGTTGAGCAAGTGTCTTTGAGGTAGGATTGAATGAGCTGAGAAAGAAATCAGGGAAACAACACCCTCTACAACAGCCTCAAATAACATATGTTGGGGTAACTCTAAGCCAGCAAGTGAAAGACCTGCCTGACATGGACTTCAAGTCTTTGAAGAAAGAAATTGGAGAACATATCAGAAGATGGAAAGATCTCCCATGCTCATGGATTGGTAGGATTAACATAGTAAAAGTAACCATCTTACCAAAAGCAATCTACACATTCAATGCAATCCCCATTAAAATCACAAGACAATTCTTTACAGACCTTGGAAGAATAATACTCAACTTCATATGGAAAAACAAAATACCCATGATAGCTAAAACAATCCTGTACAATAAAAGAACTTCCGAGGGCATCATCATCCCTGATCTCAAGCTGTAATACAGAGATACAGTAATAAAAACTGCATAGTATTGGCATAAAAGCAAACAAGTGGACCGATGGAATCTAATCGAAGACCCAGACATAAATCTACAAGCCTATGGACACCTGACTTTCGTCAAGGAAACCAAAATTATACAATGGAAAAAAGAAAGCATCTTCAACAAATGGTGCTGGTCTAACTGGATATCCTAATGTAGACAAAATGCAAATAGATCCATATTTATCACCTTCCACAAAACTCAAGTCCAAATGGATAAAAAAAACTCAACATAAATCCAGATACACTTAACCTGACAGAAGAGAAAGTGGGAAATAGCCTCAAACGAATCGGCACAGGAGACAACTTCTTGAACAGAACACCAATAGTGCAGATACTAAGATCAACAATTAATAAATGGAACCTCATAAACCTAAAAGTTTTCTTGAGGCAAAAGACACCATCAAGGGGACATAATGACAGCCTACAGAATGGGAAAAGATTTTCACCAACCCCACATCTGACAGAGGGCAGATTTCCAAAATCTATAAAGAACTCAAGAAACTAGACACCCCAAAAAAAAAACCCAAATAATCCAATTAAAAAGTGGGGCACAGATCTAAACAGAGAATTCTCAAGAGAGGAATCTCAAATGACCAAGAAATACTTAAAGATATGTTTGACATTCTTAGCCATCAGGAAAATGCAAATCAAAATGACTCTAAGATCCTGTTTTCTACCTGTCAAAACACCTAAGATCAAAAACGCAAGTGACAGCTCACGGTGGAAAGGATGTGGAGCAAGAGAACACTCCTCCATTGCCGTTAGGAGTACAAACTTATACAGCCTCTTTGGAAATCAATATGGCAGTTTCTCAGAAAATTGGAACTCAATCTATCTCAAGACCTAGCTATACCACTACACCAGCTATACTGCTCTTAAGCATATCCCAAACGATGATCAATCATATGTTAAACATATTATATTTCCAGAACAACACAATACATGGAAATGAATGATTATAAAACATAATTCAAGGGGGAAAATGAATAATTTTAACAAGAAATAAGGATTTGTTTTCTTTCTCCAAAAGTGCTTAAGGTGGTGGAAAACATGAACTGGATTCTAAATACAATAATGAAAACCTAGCAAAGTTCTATAGTAGCTTCCATTACCTCATACAAAATAAATGTTTCTAGGCATATACATCATCAACAAATTGTTAGTTTAAAATACCAACAATAATAACAGCAACAAAAAAAAGCAAAACTTGGGTCTCATCCTCATCCATCTTTTCTCGTTTCTCATTCTGTGATTATCCGGGTCTTCCTCACCAACTCCTTTGCAAGAAATTTGCAAATGAGCCAAAAAGGAAAATTACAATAAGGCAGTTAATCTCCAGAGAATATTCTGTCCAATTCTTTACCCCTAGTGGGGGATGTAAAAAGAATGGACAAATGGACGATGCCCAGATGGATAAATGGATATGTAGATGGTTGGCTGGATAGATAATTTGCTGGGCAGATGAGTGGATAGATGGGAAAATGGATGAACAGATGGACAGAGTTATGTAATTTCAACAAGATAACTGAGTTCATTGACCCTGCACTGTTCAAATTCTCATACTTCCTAATAGTCCAGGACACGTGGCTCCTATACAGGCCAATGTCTTCTACAGCCATGTTTCCTTATATACTCCATCTCAATAGGTTTGCATCAACTAATTAAATCTGAAAAGCAAAGGGTTCCTTCTCATCTTCCCAAGAAGAGCCGCACTCATGATGTAACCAGCCCCTGCTTCATCATGACTCCCTGGATGCATCTGGTTCCCAGCAGCCGTAGTCTTTCTACTTCTGGTCCTTCAGACCTTTCCAAGTCTCAAATGGAACCCCACGGAGCATCAAAGATGTTTGATCCCAGCATTGTTTATCTAGCTGCAAAACCACTAATAACACAGTCAATGACAGTAGCTACAGAGACAGGAGGTCACTGTCTGGCCTCTGTCAAAGCTTTATGGGTGACTCTCTCCCCTTCCCACAAATACTCATTAATCTCCCCACCTCCTTATTATTCGTACTGTGTTGAAGATATTATGAAATCTTTGGGCTCTTCTTCCCTGATCTGGAGGCAATTATAGATTGCTGCAGGCCTGTCCCACCCTGACCAGACATTATAAACACAGTGTTGATGCCCGGAAGAAGTCAGTTGGAGGTTCCAGGCATCAGAGTTCCAGACACCAGGATCTACAGGTCAGTGGTGACAGATTTTCTCTCTCTCTCTCTCTCTCTCTCTCTCTCTCTCTCACACACACACACACACACACACACACACACACACACTTTTTTGTCAATGCCTTCAAAATGCCAAGTTCTCCAAGGAGCAAGGAATGCCTTTTACAGAGTGTTGTGTGATGCTCTCTAAGTTTGGGAGCACTTGATAGAATTTAAGGAGAAGTATAGATTTTGTTAAAGCAAAGTCATATATTTGAAACCTCAAAGTCTTCTCAAAAATAATCATCTAGACCAGTAGTATTCAAACAGTATTTTGTTTGTGACACACAGACATTCTCTAGAGATATTCTGTGACTCACTTCAGTAGGACAGTAGGAATACCACCAAGATGCTAATGTCTCCACCACCTCCTCTGAAGCAATTCCATCACCCCCTTATCTATCATACATCCAATTGTGGTTTTTTTTTAAGAAAAAAGAAAATTTTTCTTGTGAAACTTAAACAGTTTTGAAAAAAAAATTATCTTACCCAACATCTCATTGCTATGGGACTAGATTGGAGGCCCAGGGACAAGAAGAATCAAAATGAATTAGTAGCAGAGTTACTTCTGGAATCCATCCTTGCAGTCAAAGCCTGATACATGTGTTTCTGTGTTCTCGTCTTAAGTTCCTGTGTGTGTCAATCATGTGGTTGGAAAGAGCTTCCGATGAGCTATATACACTATGCTTCATGATTTCAGGATCTTATCAACTTTTATAAGGCAAACAATTGTCTTAATGTACACTAATAAACAATATAGTAAATTTTAATAGGAGCTCAGAATAGTGTTATAACCATAAAGGAGAGAATCATTAAACTTCGAGTCATGGGAACCATAGTTTGACCTAGAAAGAACCTTGACAACCACATAATGTAATGCCATGAACCTGAGCATTGGCCGTGAGGATACGTGACCCGGTGTGTTTGAGCGCTCATTCTCGGTTGTTGTGCAATTGGACAGACAAGGTACTGAGCCCGTGGGTACTGAAGCCACGCCCAGTGACCTTAATATGAGTGACGTGGATGATCAGTGATGAAGGGGATGGCTTTGGAGCAGAGAAACCAGAGGCAACACCGAGTGTGCCCTTAGAGAGGATGAGGAAAGAGTCCTGGAGAGAGAAATGAGACCATATTGCACAAGCAAACTAGGGTGAGATGGTGGCAAAATAGGTGGCCATTGTGGATTCTAGAACTGGGGAGTAGTATGGTCAAAGATGTACTTTCAAAATGAATCCCGTATGCTTTTTATAGATTGGGTTGCCGGTCCAGCAACCAGGAGCACTAGCTTGTTTACAGTAGCACCTGAAAACAAAAATAAAGTCACATTTTAAAGGAACGTCTCCTAAAGAGGAAGAGAGGTACATTTTCAGTGCTTCTCGGGGTTTGAAGTTCAGGGATGAGAGAAATATTAGAAAAGCGAGAGAAGTAGAATTGAGAGAGATAAGTGGATCGAGAGAAGACCATTAGCCTTACACATATCTGGAGGACATGATGGCAGCACTTACAAAGAAGAGGGTGGACTACGGACTGCTGAAGCTTAGCCTAGGTCTGGGAGGCATTAGTGCAAAATGATGGTTGCAGCTGTAGGAAGAGATGGATTACGATTCCATAGCAAATGAAAATACAAATACATAGGACATCTCCTTGTGACTTTTCAGCCTTAGGCATGACCCTAGGAAAGGGATTCTACAATGTGCCTCTGATAGACGGGGAATTGGAAGAACTCAACTAATGTCAAAGATCCCAGGAGGTAGTAAGAAATAGAAAAAATAATTCTTAAAATGCCTTTGGTTTGGGCTCCATGAAGATTAGTATTGTTCTTGGAGACAAAAGGCTTCATGTAGACAATGTTAGAGAAAATGAAAAGAATGCTGGGGATCGCAGCACTATCTGTTGGAGGAACTCGATGCAGGGCAGGAGAGTTAGAGAAGTCTGAGTCAGCCAAGGTCCGTGGCCAGGAACAAGTCAGAGGAAGAAAAGGGGGACATAGACCCAAACTGAGTGAATGGTTGTTTTGGGGATTAACAAGGAAGGGAAAACTTTGGCAATCAAGTGTGAAGAACATCAGGACCCCAGGCTTCCCGTGTGACCACAAACTAGAACAAGCAAGTAACTTCTTACTCTTCTAACACGATCTAGCCAGAACCTAAGCAGAGGAACCCTACATGAGAGTCTATAGGAAACTTTGAAAGTCTGGCTGTGCCAAAATGGGTAGTTCCTAGAATCCCAAGAATCCAACTTAATGAGACCAACACTGGATTTCTGTTGCCTGTTGGAGCTGACATTGACCAAGAGTTGGAGTCGACCTGGATGGGCAGGTTCACACACACCTACCAACTTCATCGGCCCCTCTTGGGCCTCAACCCAGCTTCCTGGCTGCTCATACTTCTCTGCCACAACTAAAGGAGCCTTGGTGGTCTGGCCCAAAGGGAACACGTCATCAAACAGCCTTGCTTTGAGGTTGTGCTGTTATTAGTTTACATGGGCTAGAGGAAGAATTCTCTATTCTGTACTGCTCCAAGTGTGGTCTGGGGACCAGCAGCATTTTCAAGACCTGGTTGAATGTTTAAAATACAGTCTCGGGCCTTACCTCAGACCTAGAGAACAACACATTACTTCAAGCACTATTGAATAAGGCCAGGGAGAAAAATACTTGCCGAGTGTTTTGGCACCTATGACTTTAACTAAACACTTGGTATTTTTAAAGAATAATGCTTACTTTACAAAAGAAATCAAATCTACTACAGGAAAATGTTAAGGAATATTAACCATCATTGATGATCCTGCCAGCCATGACTGAACGCTGCAAAGGAGAGCACCAGTGGTCTTTGCTCCCGTGTGTGGATCTCCACCTGCCTATGAATTGATTAGAATTATAGTGTGTACGTTATTTATAACCTACACTTTTTACTTCAAATATCTGGAAATTTTTATGCCATAAATGTCATCACTGATGAGCATATGCTTCTTATTTACTGGAATTGTCATTTCCTTTCGGCCAATGGCCTATTCTTGGACAAGGAGAGCACTCCCAACTTTCCAACATTGTAAAAATATCCAATTGAACTATTTTATAACTAAACACTTGGGCAATTTGGCCTTTCCCTTCCCCTGGCACATAGCAACAGCACATGCAATCACAGACGAGACAGGCTGCTAGGAGCCTGGTCCGTAACGCCAGCCTTTGTGCGGAGTCTTCAACCTCATCAGCGCCCTGTTTTCTTCACTCTCAATAGGTCTCAAACTTTTGCCCAGTTGCTTTCCAGTAAAAAAAAAATCCACTTGGGCTACAGTCCCATTTCTTGTAATAGCAGACCACGGATCTCAGTGACACCGTGGTGGTCTCAATGCCGTCACCAGCATCAGCCTCGTCTTCCTTACCTGCCTCCCTCAGTATCACTTCTTCCATCTCCAAGTCCTGTGTCTTCCCGCATTCTTCTGTCTCATTTTCTATTCTCTTACATAGAGATTTCTTTCTTTATCCCCCTTCCTGCTCAGGATGAATGAGATCTACTCAGTAGGCCCAGACACCCCTGCATTTACTCTTAGGAGCTGTTCTCCTACTGTAGTCTGTCCTAAGTTTCTTGTGTGCTGTTCTGGATTGGACTTTCTGGGTGATCACTTTAGGGAGGAGCTCTAGGCTAGGGTACTCCTCCAGGAAGGAACACAGTCCTGGGACGCTTTGTGGCTTAGAGTTTATGTAGGTCACTCTCTTCAAGTCAGGGCACTCATTTTCAAAGCTCATTTCAAAATCTCTATATATCCATCCTGTTCTGATTTTCACCTGAAAGAAAAAAAGAGAGGAAGGTATGTGGACCAACTCCACACACATGGCAGCAGTCCCCAGTCCCAGGAACGATGCTTCCTAACCTTAGACCCTGCCTGTTCTCCCCAGCTAAGGTGTTCTCTCCTATGCTAAGTGTCTTACACCCTGCTGGGTAAGGAGGACAGAGCAGGGTGACCATCTGGCCAGGCTGGGAAATGGGACTGAATCTGCCCTGAGATTACCCCCTATCTGTGGAAAACCCACCTCTCAGCCTGGGAAGTGCGGTGGTAGGCTCTTTAGGTGAATCTGCTCTTTAGAATCTCAGCAGAGGCTCATACCTCTGTTGACTAAACCTGATCTAATGGCCAGGAATTAGGAAAAGGCAGAGCATCCTAGAATTGGGAGGGCTGGGGAAACCTTGGAGGATTCTGCAATGCCTACAGGATGGGAGCAGCTTGTGGCTGAGTATCTCTGAGTCCCATCATGGCTGCCCCCAAGTACACACCGCTACTCTTCTGACAGCCTGTGTCTTCTTTTCCCCAGTGAAGACCAGACACTCCCAACAGCAGGAATGTGTTCCCTTCCCATGGCAAGATACTACATGTAAGTAATTTGGGTGATTTCTCAATCAAGGGGTCTGGGGAAACACATAAGAAGGGAAAGGGCTGAGTTAAAGGATGAAGCTCTTTCCTTTTTCCTAAAGGAAAGCAACTCTTCCTTTTTGCCCAAAACGACAGCCCTCTTTCCCGATAGCAGACTAAGAACTTTGTCAGGAGAGTTATTACTAAGTCCATTTTACAGATCTGGAAATTGCAGCTCCAAGAGGTTGTAGAACTTTCCTCATGTTATATAACCACTCAAAAGAAGGAAGTGGGGTCAGACACTGTGTTCTCTGAACTGGCATATCTGGCACTTAGAAAGCTCAGGCAATCTTGAGTCCCAACGGCAGCATCTTTACGGTGACCTTAACTGATACCTAGATAGAAGAAGAAGAAGAAGAAGAAGAGGAGGAGGAGGAGGAGGAGG